AAATTTTTCTGTAGAAACATGTTTCTATTTGCTCCTTCGTTTAAGAACTCTCCATATGTGAAAGGTCATGATTGAATGAGTCATGGCCGAGGCTGGAACAAGTGGAAGGCTCTGTAACGTGCACCCGGGGCACTAAGTAGCGTCGGCAGTGAACAGCCTTCTGTCGGTGGCTGAGCCGCAGTCCGGCCGGCCTCGGCCGGCGCCTCCCGCTGGGGCCGCCAGGGGGCGCTGTGGCCCCGGTGCGAGGCGGCGGCGCGGTGCGGACCCTCCCCCGGAATCTCCGGCACCGCCCTGTCCCATCATCCTTTGCGGGTAAACAGACATGGCTGGTGAGGGAGATCCGGGGGACGCTGCGCACAACATGGGCAACCACCTGCCGCTCTTGCCTGGTAACCGCCTGGGGCAGGTGCCCGGAGGCGGGAGTGGGGCGAGGCCCGGAGCTGCTAGGGGCGCGGCGGGGCCGGGGAGGCGGGAGGGCGTGCCGAGGCCGGCCGGCCCCGCAGGGCCGCACCGGGAAGCGGTTTCACGTCGGCCCCAGTCAGCGCCCCAGTTGCAGAGCTTCCGCCCGTGTTCGGTGGCTTAGAGCTGTGGGCGAGGGCGTGGGGGCGGTGGGGGAGGATCGCTCCCAAGGCAGGGACCTAGTCCTCTCCATGCTCCTTGTGCCCTGAGCTTAGCTCCGAGGAAATGCTTTGAAACTGGGGGACTGGGTCAGGTTAGCAGACGTTAGTTTCCCGGGACTCTTTCCCTTCAATAAGAGTGGCGGCTACCAAGTATTAAGCACTTATATCACGTTAGGAGCCCTGCAGTAAGCACGTGGCATGCATTTTCTACGTTTAATCCTTTCCACATCACTATTCGGATTGTGATTTGGTAGGTGAGAAATGAATTGGCAGATTAGTTCAGTGACTTGCCCAAGGTCACACAGTTGCGGAGCCGGGACTCCAGCCTGGGTTCATCTGTCGGCATAGCGGGTACCTCTAACCTCCTTCTCTATTTAGTGTGTATGTCTCAGTATTTGGTCTGTTTTTCTTAGGCATATACGAATATACTTAATTAGACATACTTAAGAGTGTGATGTTAAACTCAGTTTCTCTTTCCTGTATGTTTTGTGAAATTTTAGACCTTGGCCTTGTGTTGGAATAGTAAGTAGAAAAAAGAAATGGAGTAATTGTACAAACTTTTTATGGAGTGCTGTAGACAAGAGATGCTTTCCAAGAGGTGTATCATCCAAACTGGGATTGGCTTACTGCCTTCACTATATACCAGTCAGTGTGTTAGGTTATGTGGGAATGAAAAGAGGTATGATACACAATCTGGTACTTGGTTCACAATCTAGGTGAGGCTACTGAGAATATAACTAGCAGAGGCAGTTGATTTAGGGCCAGATAAATGAATGCTATTTGGTTCTTCAGAGGGAGGGAGGGATTGTTCAGGGGTCAGAGGAATTGGGGAAAAAGCTTTGTGAGGTAGATCTGGAGGCATCCAAAACCATACACGTACGATAAGGTTGTGGAAGATAAGGCCTAGGAAGTAGGTTGGGTCTAAGTAGTTGGAGAACTTGCATCTCTTACTAGTGGGGTTGGGTTTTTTTCTGTGGATTGCCAAGAAACAATACCAGGTTTCAAGTAGTTGTCTAAGGAAAGCTATGCTAGGGAAATTAAGTTGTTCACTTGGAATAGCATGGATTGAAAGAGGAAGAGACAGAGAGTATGCCCACCATATTGGAGGGAACTTTTCTATAAAAATAAACCACAGTCGGAGTCAGAGGTGGTTCTTGAATCCATCCTAACTGAATTGACATAAAGGTAAGTGTGCCAGCTTTCAGCAGAAAAGCTGAGCTGTTTTTTCAGAGAAATCAGCCCCACTTTGTATGTGCCAAATCCAGTGTTTCAGGGAGAATGTTGAATAGAAGAGAGAGGATACTGATGTTCTGTTGGCATTCACAGGATGCCTCTGCATGAGATGAGTCATCAGACTTCACCCTGGTAGCTCTAAACAGTCAGTGTGTATTTTCTCAGGAAAAAAATCAGAGGTGAGAGGGCCCAGAAGTGTTGTAGATGTAGCAGTAATGCTTTCCCAATTACATATGAGTTTTTTTATTTGTACAGAAACATTGGATCGTCTGTAAATCCATGTTGTATGAATTGTTTTGAAGAGTAATTTTCTTTAAGTGCTCAGGAAATAGCTTTATATTTGAGATGTGAAGAATCTATCCTGGCCAAATGAAACATTAATAGATAAACATAGCAGAGTCAGGGGAAGTGGGTTTTAGCCATATTTATGGGAAAGGCTACTAAGGAAATTGTTTAGAGACTAGACTAAAATTAGAAGAGTTAAAATGTAAACTTTTAAAAATATTAATTCCAGCCTTTGAGCTAATAGTTACCCTTTTAAACTTTCTGTATTAGAGCAATAAAGTGGGTCTCACCACATGCCAAGTGAAAGCCATGCTCTCGGAATTGTAAATACAAAGGATTAGATGCAGAACATCTTTCTCATCAGTTTAGATTTTTCTTTATCTCTTTGCGAAACTTATATGTTCTTAGGAAAAATTTATACGAAGTGATAGACCATTGTTTGCATATAAGTTGAAATAATTATGTTGTTCTTTTTGATAAAGCCTTATATCCAGGAATTTATAAGAATACATAGAAAGTCCATAGCAGTTACCATATTGAAAAACATTTGTATTTTCTGTTTCTTAGCTAGAGGTGATTTGATTTAAATATGATAGATAATGATATGCATAAAAGAAAAAAATGACTGTTTCGTAAAGACATTTTATCTATTTAGATGTTTACTCGGAGCATTTAAAAATATATGAACTGTGAGGTCAGAAAGGAAATTAGTAATTCTTTATCATTAATCTAGGCCAGGGTTTCCTAACCTCGGCACTCGTGACATTTTGAGCTGGAAATTTCTTTGTGTGGGGACTGTCCTGTGCAGTGTAGCATATTTAGCAGCATCCCTGGCCTCTACCCACAAGATACCAATGCAGCTCCCTTAGCTGTGACAAATAACATCCCCTGAGGGCATAATCACCCCTGATGGAGAATCACTGGTCTGATAGTCAGCGTGAAAAGGACAGACTCCCACTTAATAGAATAGCAGCTATATTGTGTAGCTTTTTCTGACTTTCATCCCTGTCATTGGTAATATCAGCTTTATAAAATAGATCAGCTTAGTTTTCATAATTTAAAAAATATGTGTGGAGAAAGCTTTCTAAGACATTTCTTTTAAACTATGCTTTATGCTTCATGCCAGCTTTATTTTAAACCTAAAATTACAGAGCAAAACGTGTATGAGAATGTTTACAAACATTGTGTTTTTAAATACTGGGAGCCGGGGAAGTGGTGTCACTGGAAAAATGTTATGAAAGTCTCCCAGGTTATAATGATATCTTTTTTCAATTT